ACTTGGAGACAGGAAATATAAGAAAAGCAGGTAACAGAAGATGAATTCAAGAAGATGGAATGGTCCTGCAAGAATGAGATGAAGACTTGTGTTTCAGCTCTAAATGTCATAAGAATTGGGAAGAAAGCTAAGGACTACAGTAAGATGGTTGCTTCATTTGTTTTATTTTATTTAGCTATACTGGAGAAAAGAGGAAATTGGAGAATTCTTGGACCACTCCTTGTGGTAGATGAGGCCATGATAATGGAAGAGAAGGCAGAACTACTCCACTCTTAATTTTGTTTCAATTCTATAAGCAAGTGATCATGAAGTGCCTCTTATGCAAAAGGAACTGTGCTTGATGCAGGGGACATATGGAAAAAGAAACTGACCTGTCATCAAAAAACTTATGTTCTATTGGATATTTGCCTTGTAAAACAGGAAAGTAAATACTTGATCATTTGGAGAGATCACTGATATCTAGGGGGATAAGGAATTGTTCCATTTTAGAATTGGCACCCCAGGTGAGTTTTGAAAGAAGTTAATGACCCGAGAGATAGGTGGAAGGAGTAATAGAGTCAGAAACTAGATTATAAGAAGTTGTAAAGTGTGCAGGTGATGAGAAAACATAGATACCCTTTCTAAAACCTTAGCATTGAAGGGAGAGAATGCATTTAGGATGAAAAGAGAGCAGAGTCAAGTTAATTCTTTTTCTCCCTTCAGAACATTTAGACATCTGGAAAGTAGCTAATAGAAAAGGAGAAATTGAAGGTGAAGGGATCACGAGGCAGTTAAATCAAATAGTGGCTAGACTGCTGGACTTGGAGTCAGGGATATCCAATTTTCAACTGTGACTCTTTCTAGCTGTGTTACCCTGGGCAAATCACTTAACCCCTGTGAGCCTCAATCTCCTCTTTTATAAAATGAGAATAATAATAGAACCTACCTCAAAAGGTTGTTGTGAGGATATGAGTTAATGCTTGTAAAGTGTTTTGTATACTTTAAAGCTCCATACAAATATTCAGTACTAACAGTAGGATGATAACGATGAAATAGTTTCCTGGAGGAAATGGAAGGGGGAGGGATCAAAGACACAAGAGAAGGGATTAGTTTTGATAAAAAGGGGAACAGTCTCATACTCTGAATCCCAAGCAAAGGTTAAAAACCTAGAGAGGTTTTGTGATGGCGAGGATGGGAGATTAGGGAGCTAGGGATAGGTGACCTCGGTCTTCTCTTTTAGGACAAATCCTGTGGGAAGGGATTAAGAGTTGACTAGAAAGAAGGTTTTATAAAACTGCTGTAGAGAATATGCTAGGGAGTCAATCAGACATGGAACAAAATGATTAAAGGTCCAGCTGAGGTTTTGGTTACCCAGTCCCCGTGACTTCCCCAGCAGTGTCTGACTACTCTGTACTAGGAATGGAAAAGGCTGATGGTTTGGCTGATCTATCCAGGGTCGAGAATTATAGAGAAGGGAGGAACATTAGAAGGACAAGAGCGTGAGGTAGCAAAGAGTGGTGGACAGAGTCTAGCTGAAATGGCTATTTATATGGTGAAGACTGTGGAGGGATGGGGGGTAAAAACAGAGCAAGGATAAAGGAAGTAATTGCAAGGTTGGAGGTTGGAAGTAGGGCTGAAGAGTGAGTTCAAGAGGCACGAGATATGGAGACATTCAAGGACAGAGTGATATGGCTGTAACAGTTGCAAGATAAGAGCTGATATAAAGAGTTTCTCCTTGAAAGCAAATAAAACAGGGGAGGAGGAGTCAGGAATGAGGACCGGGGGAAATCATGCTGCAAGGGATCAAGTTCTAGATGACTTGTACTATCTCCCCTCTTATTTTAACTTTAGGAATTAAATTCACATGTAACATCTCCAGTTTGTCAATCTTCCAGTAATTCATTTATTCAGTCTTTTCACTCATTCAGTAAATATTTGTTAAATGTCTAGCATGTACAAGGAACTACAGTGGGCTGTGGAGAAGGAGAGACAACCTGATGAGGTAGAAAAAGAATTGGGTTTGGAGTCAGGAGAGCAAGGTTTAGATACTAGCTTCAAAATTTACTGCGTGTGGAATAAAGGACAGGTCATTTAACCTTTCTCAGCTCTATTTTCTTCTATTTTAAATGGTGTTAGTAACACTTACAGGTAGTAACGCTTTACTTCCTAACCCCAGACATTATTTTATTTTGAACCTGTGATTTCAAATGTGAATTACTAGTCAATGCTCTTAAAAAAAAAAAAAAAAACAACTTATAACCTAGGAGGGGGAAGATAAGAAATCCTGGCTCTGCTTCTTACTACCAGACTCACCTTGGTTGTGTACATATCAAGGCCTGTTTTCTCCTGTGTGTGTGTGTGTGTGTGTGTGTGTGAGACAGAGAAAGAGAGAGAGACAGAGAGAGAGAGAGAGAGAGGGAGGGAGAGAGAGAGTTGGATCATTGTAAAGACAAGTAACTTTGAAAGCCTTAAAAACTCTGATGCATGTAATAATGAATGATAATTCTTAAATATATTATGATGGTGAAACATGCTACCTGCCCCCTGACAAAGAGGTTATGGATTCAAATTGCAGAATGAGACGTTTTTTGGACATAGCTAATTTTGGAATTTGTTTTACCTGAATTTGAGTATTTGTTACAAGGGTTTGGTTTTGATTTTCTTTTCTTTCTTTCTTTCTCCCTCCCCACCTGGGATAGCAGGGGGGCAAGGAGATGGGAGGGAGAGAAAACAGATTTTTGTTCAATGAAAAAATAATTTTTCTAGAAAGGGGTTGGGCTAGGTAACCTGTTTAAAGCTCATTTCTAGCTTTAAATCTACAATCCTTTCAAACATATGTACATGGATAAGTATAATATAAATTATATTATAAGTACATAAAAAAAGCATGTCCTATAAGATGGTTCCTGATAAGATAGAAATTCAACAACATTCTACCCCCAACCCAGTTACGGAAACAGCAGACCAAATACCTCTTAACCAGATGTTGTCTGTTCTAACTTTGTGCCTGGATTCCTTTATCTGCAACTTATAATAAAGTTGCAAAGGAAAAGGTACCCAGTTGTGTTATGAATAAACGTACAGGGTCGTGGAGGCATGCATTGTGTCAGATCAGGCTGACTTCTCATTTGCCGAACAGAGGCTGGAATCAGTCAGGCAGCCACCACCAGCATGCCAGTCCTTTTTAAAGATAGCTTATTGATTTAGAAAATAAAAGTATGGCTTGATTGCAGTGGCATCCATCCTAGATATGTGGACAAGACCATCTTGTCATTTTTATTACCTTGAATTCTGAAAGTCACTGCAGTAAGAACTTAGCAACACTGCGCACAGAGAACCTTCAGGAAATGAGGAGATTTAGAGGCAACATTCAGCCTTCCATAGTCACATATTTACTGACATCAATACCATATAATGTGGAAAAAAACATTATAGGGAATCTGTCTTTGCAGAATAATCACTGTGGTACCATACATTTTCATTGAAAAATTAACTAGGCATTTATTAAGGAGGCAGCAGAATGCATTGGAAGTCAGAGGGACTGGATGTAGATAATGTCTCTGCTGCATATTACCTATGTGACTTTGGGCAAGTGATTTAAACTCTCTGGAACTCAGTTTATTTATCTGTAAAATGTGTGTGGGTGGTGTTAGTGAATCAAGTCCCCCCTTTTTAGTTTTAAATCCTTTGGTTTCACCTCCAGGTGAGAATATTGTGTGAAATCAGTGGCATAGTGGAAAGAGCTCTGGAATCAGAAGTTCTGGGTTCAGATCTCATCTCTGACAGCTACTATTTGTATCACCGAGGAAATCACTTAATCTCTCTGAGCTTCAGTCTCCTCATCTATAAAATGAAAGTGTTAGGCTAGATGACTGAGTCTTTTCCAGCTCTAGGTTTGTGATCTAGGCATGTGAACCTATCTGAATTAGTCACCCTTTGCTCTGGGCATAACAAAGAGTACCTAGGGGTGGTTAAGATTTTATTGCTATGTGTGTGTAGATAACCAGGAAGCAAAATGCTGTTTTTTGTGGGGTTGTTTTTTTTTTTGTGGGAATGACCTGTGACTTCCACAGTATAAGAAATTCCTTCCATTAATGGAAATCAAAATTAGTCTATGATGTAGTGGATAAATCGAACCCTATGGAGTTGTGTGAGGAGTATAAAGGTTAAGTGATTTGGCAAGGGTGACAGAGCAGGCAAACATCAGAAGCATAATTTGAACCCAGGATGGCTTGACTACAAGTTCAGCATGCCATCTGCTGGTGCAACACTACCTCTTCATGTTCTATAATGGAAAATTAAGTAGAATCAGAGCAATAAGTATTTATTGAGCACTTATTCATTCAAGAGACAGTAAAGAGAGAAGTCTGCTGAGAAAGGAAGGTTTAGAGAACAAGGGCAGATGGGGCTGGAAAGGCAGCTTGGACAGAATGCAGAGTTGAGGATTCGGGAATAACATGATTTGACTTTATTCTACAAGGACAGGGTGAAGGGAAAGAGGCTATCTAGTGGAAATAAAACTAGATTTGGAGTCAGAAGAGTTGCATTTGAACCCTGGTTCTACTTTTAACTGTGGGACTTTGGGCAAATTGCTTTGCTTCCATGGTCCTCAGTTTCTCCATCTGTAAAACAAGGTTTTGGATTAGATGATATCTTAAATTCTCTTCAAGTCTTAGGATCTTATGATCCTATGATTCTGGGGTGGTAATACAAAGAGGAAGGAACGAATAGATGTGACAGACAGTATGAGGACCAAAATGACAAAGCATATCATATTACAAAGCTGGATATTAAGGGAGCCATAAGATGGAAGTCATAGAATCAGACATTATGGGAACTCTTAAAAGCATTAGCAAATGAATCCAAAACTATTACTTTGATCATGAGGGAAATTAGGCTTAGGGAAGTTAAATGCTTTGACTAACACAGAGAGTGGTAACATGAAGTCTAGAACTTGGGTGTTCTAACCTCCATTCAAGTATTGCTTGATCATATTACACAAAAATAACCAACCATTTTACCTGCTTACATCCTGGATCCTACAGCCATTGTCCAGGAGAGCAATCTTTTGGAGGTGAGAATATAGGGAGATCTGAAGAGAAATAGTGAGATACAAAGTTACAAATGTAGGTTGGAGCCAAAATCATGGAGCTCCTTGAATGTTAGATGCGAGAGGCAAAGTCATTAAAATTTTTTGATCCTTCTCCTTCTTCAACGAGTTCAGTTTTTGGCTCACACTCTTTGTCTTCACCTCAACTCCTGCCCTCATGATAAGGGACTTTTACGTACATATTAATGTTCCCTCATATGCCCTCACCTCATTTTCTCACTCTACCCATTTCTCAAGACATAGTCCTCCACTCTGCCTCAGTTACACACAGAAATGATCATACCTTTGATCTTCTCATCACCCACTAGTATTTCACTTTGATGTTCATGAACTCCAAAATTCTTTCATCTGATCATATTATTTTATTATTCCTTCTCTTTCTATGTTTCATGATCCTACTTTTTGTCTTCCTCATGACCTCAAATCCCTTCATTCTTCAGTCCATTCATAAGTCATAACCTCTGTACTGGCTACATTTTTTACCCTTCCCTACCTTGACCCCTTGGTAAATTAGCCCAACTTTACATTATCCTCTACATTTGAATCTATTACCCCCTTGTCCAGATAACAGATTACACTTTGTTAAAACTCAACCTTTGGTTACACATACCATCCACCTCCTTTGCTCCTATTCATATGCTTTTAAATAGAGATAGAGAAAATCATGAAACCGTACTCACTGGGTTCACAACAAATTTATGTTACATAATCTCAACTGGACCTTTACCACTAGAGAGACCTTTTGTACTTCTCTAATTGATTAATTATATAATTCTCTTCAGTGGTTATTCCAACCTTTCTATCTTCCCTCAAACCTTCCATGACACCCTTTCCTTCCACCCTCTCAACTGATGACCTTGACATATTTCACCAAAAAAAAAATAGTGGAGGCCGTAAAGGAGAGCTGCTCTTCTCCCCTTCTTCTCATCTCAAATCACTTAGGCATCTTCCCTTACTATCTTCTCCTGCACCCTGTTATGCATGGAGAGATGGGTCTTCTTTTTTGCCAAGGCAAACATCTCAGTATGTACCCTTGATCCCATCCCCTCATCTTTTCTCCAGCATGTCCAGAAAACTCTCTCTTTCTTCACTTTTTCCTCTTGGATTTATTGGCTTCTTTCAAGGATTATCTCAAATCCCATTTTTACAGGATGTCTTTCCCCCCCACCCTCTTCTTTGACTGTTAGTGCCTTTCCTCTGACATTACCTTCCATTTAATATATATGTATATTTAATATAGATGTATATTAGTTTATACATATGCATATGTATATCTATCCTTATATACATAATCATTTGCTTGTTGTCTGTCCTATTAGAATGTAAACTCCTAGGGGAGAACATCAGTTTTGCTTTTTTTTTTAATTTTTTCTATCCTCAGAAATCAGTACATGGCCTGGCATATAGTAAGTGTTTAATAAATGTTCCGTCACTGACAGGGAGTGACATCATTAGAGCTATGCTTTTTTTAATGTTAAAAATCAAACCAGTTATTTATTTTTACATACTATAAAACATTAGTCATTATCATTCACTTTTCCATAGGACACAAAATATTTTAAATTGATTTTTGCTCATCAAATGCATTAATAGTTTAATTGAATTGATTGGTATAATAGAACATTTCAAATTGAGAAAGAAAATCTAAATACAACATAACTTTTTCTGATCCTAGGACATATCCTACTTATAGAAGTATCATTTAATGAAACATGCTGCAATTTTAACATGTAAGAAATAAAGAAAAGAACTTCTTAACCCTCACCAATTAAAAACAAAAAAGAATGAAAATCAAGAGGAAAGCAGATTATCCAGCTGTTTTGTTTTCAAGCTACCACCGAGAGCAAGAAAGAAATTTGCAACAGCTGAACAATAGTTTTTGCACTGACTCTCATCATAATGCAAAGATATGTACATTTCTTCCCAGGTACCTGGGGAACATCAGCATTAGAATGCCATTCAGGTGGAAACTGAAATTCTATTGTGTTGAAAGGATAAGCTCCCACAGTGGAAGATTAAGGAAGATGGCTGTGAGACAGTGTCTTCCAGATAGAATGCTATTTGGAATTTGAAGAGGGTCTGGGTAGGGAAAACTGCAAACTAATAAAACTATTCAGGATTAGAACAAGAACACGTCAAATCTCATTCAAATAAAAAGTTGAAATCTTTCAAATATAATTTTGATACTAAAGTACTTACCAAGACCATTCCATGAAAAGATAAATTCTAAAAACAACAGTCAAGTTTGTCATTGAAATAACCCTTGAGCTTAAATCTGTCATCAGAAAATTGAACATGCACCCATTAAGTATTGAAAGTCATTCCTCTCTCTCTCTTTTTCTCTAATCTGGGTATGAAAAATAGTATTTATATCATTCAAACGATATCTTTATATTACTGTGTACTATTTGTCAATGACAGACATCACCCTCAGTTCCCTTTAAACAGTAGACTTTGTCCACTGAACTGAGCATAAAAATAAGATAATGAAAATTCTTTAAAACTTAAAAGATTATAGCATCAGAGACAGTTGTCTCCAGTGAAAAGTATAAATTCAAATTCTCCTTTGTTTTCTCCCAGCTAGTGAGAGCAATGGATAACTGATGCCCACACAGCCTGTGTGTTTCTTTAGTATCCTCACACAAAGTCCTGGGAAGTAAGGGAAGGTCCCTGATATGTTAGGGTGGACCCCTTGTGGTGAATTTATAGGAAGATGCAGACGCACAGAATATATGGGCATGGATAGGCAATGGTCTATGTCATGAAAAGCAAAATCTTCGTTCTCTTCCTCTTTCTCCACCCAGATGACAGCATAAAGAAGAAGAAATTAAGATGTTTCCTACAACAAACTGAGGGCTTCGAAAAACCCAAAGCATTTCTAGAATGGTATCCAACTAGGCTGTATGTTACAGATTGTATGTTGGATTTGATGTAAGGGGATTTGATGTAATCCTCCCTGTGGGACCAAGGATGATAAAAGTATAGGTATGTCTTTTCTGAAAACTGCTTTATAAATGGCAAGAGTAGAAATCTATTCTTTACATAAATCATGAACTGAACACATTCAAAAGAAATCATATGAATGGAATGTTAAGATGGATCTTATAGCTGAGATATGAGCAACTGACATAAAAGTTTCATATGAAAACAATAACTAGACATCAAAATGGACCTAATTTAGTTTTCTTTTTGAAGGCCTTCCAATTCAGAAAAAAAAATATAGTTTTGATTGAAAGAATAAAAATTTGTGTCAGAAAAGTGCTATAAAACTAAAAAATAGAAAAATAAATAATATACATTATAAAAAGAGACTTTGAGGGTTCCGTCTACCCCCAGCCGTTGCAACTGCCATGAGACCAGGAAGATAATTTTTACCTATGCAAGTGATATGGTGCTGTGTTTCTGACTTGTCAAGCCAGAAGAGCAAAGAGCAGAGACTGTGGACCCTGGAACCAGATACCCTACTTTCCTGCTCATGTAGTTGTGAATAAGAGAATCCAAAATGTTCTTGTTGGAATGAATCAGTAGTCTTTGTGGGGTTTTAGTTTCAGCTTTCCAAGGTTCCCTATGACTGAGATGCAGAAAGGGGAGGAACTGTCATGTTCAGCCTATGAAAAAGAGAGAGAGAGAGAAAGAGAGACAAGAGACACAGAGAGATAGAGACAGGGAGACAGAGCCAGAGAGACAGAGACCCTGTCCTAAATGAAGCAGGAGCATAATAGGGAAGGTCCTAGGGATGATTGACAGTCTACCTGTAAGAAATACATCTTTTCACATGCTTCATCATACTGTCTAATTACAGGACAGCCTATCCTATATGAGGACACATATACAGAACTCATATTATTCTATATGAAAATGAAACCCAGATCACATGGTGCACTGGGGAATTGAATTGGTAATAACAATTTTTGGTTTTGAATTTGTTTTCCTTTTGAAATTTCATAAAATCAGGCTATGAGAGCTCTAGCAAGTGTTGTTTGTAAGTTGGAAGAAAAGAGATCTCTTATTGGCTGAGCCTCACAGTACTACATAGAACCGAGCACTTAACCTAGTAGCCAGCCTGCTGGTGATGACTCTCTTTGTCCTTAGCCAGGATGGTGTTCAGAAAGCAGACCTGGTTTGGCATAGGACTTGAAGCCTTTTCAGCCCTGCAGGGGCTGCCAGGTCTCAATCTCTATTGATATAGTCTTCAAGAATCCTATGTCATCTCTGTATGACAGTGAAGGTCCTGAATGTCTAATTTTGCAACATGTAAATGGGTTTCAAATTCTTCTGAAAAGTTGTCACCGATCATTTTGCTTTGGGGTCTCTGCTTCCTAATTTGAGACCAAGTCTATATCATAGCATAAACATAAACTTGAATATCTTGGGATGTATTAGGTGGGGTCAGGGACAACCTAACATATCCAAAAAAATAGTATTTGTGTTTCATGTCTGCATTTTAAAGTGAAGTTGAATTGCTAATTAAATAAGTTTAGGTAAGTTTTAGTTTCCTAGACTGGAGTCAGAAAGACTCATCTTCCCGAGTTCAAATCCAGCCTCAGACACTCATTAGTTGTGTGACCCCAGGCAAGTCATTTAACTCTATTTTCCTCAGATTCTTCATCTCTAAAATGAGCTGGAGAAGGAAATGACAAAGCACTCCTATATCTTTGCCAAGAACACCCCAAATGGAGTCATGAAAGTGGGACATGACTGGAATGACTGAACAACAAAATGGAGTGTTCAATAAATCTTTACCTTTAGAAATTAGGGGAAAAATTCCTGAGTGCATATATACCCTATTGGAATACACTATGCGCATGTAAAAAAATAATATAATGTTAAAATGACTCAAATGAAATTGGTTAGTCGATTGGTAAGAGTAGAGAGTGATGGGGGCACGGGGAGAAGGAGAGGTAGGATAGGACTGTGATAATCATTACTCTTGCAAGTTCAATTCAAGGGAATTTAACTAAGAGCCTGAATTGACATTAATG